GATCTAGACGTTATGACAATAATATATAATAGATATATAAACAAATAAAAATATATATATTAATAAATAGTAATAATAGAAAAATAAATAAATAAATAAATAAAATACAAAAATACAAAATATAGAATAAATAAGTAAATAAATAAAATAAAATAAAACAAACTAAAATGGGCTTACCCATTTGGACCAGGCCTAATTGATCCGGGCTTGGACCAAATTGGGTGTCTACAATTCATAGCACGTATACTTGAGTACAAGGTTGTGAAATATGATAGGAATATGTTATGGAATATGGATATATTATTGTATTTTTGTAACCACCAAGTGTGAGATTGATTATAAAAAACTCCAAAGAATATGCTAAAACAACTTAGATTAGGAGTATTTTAATGAAAAGATTTTATTTTTCCATCTCTTAGCTCAGTATCCTTATTCGTTGATTCCCAGTTCAATGTTCGTGATTTATAAATAAACATTTCCATATAATCAGCTTAGACGTTATAATCATGAAAATTGAATTAATAATTCATAAGTCCGAGGTTGGTACCAGTATGAAGGACTTGAAATATAATTGGTTAGCTCAGACCTTAGGCATTTCAAATATAACATTACTTCGAACTTTAGATAATTAAGTTAGCAAAACGTATTTGAACTTCACGATTTCATTTAGCTCGGGACTCAGCAATTCCACGTAATTATAAACTACAGTGGCTTTAAAACCTTTATTGATAATAAAATTTTAAATTATCCACATTCCACTTTTTCAGGATGAGATTACCATTTAAGTCTTTTAGTTTACAAGTCCTAAGTCGAACCACTTCTTTTATTATGTAAGGGCCTTCATAGTTCGAGTCCAATTTTCCTCATTAGTCATCGACTCTAGAGGCTTCCACTTTTTTAAGTGCTAGTTTGCCCCTGTTGATTTTTTTTTTGTTGGACCCTTTTGTTGTAATAATTGGAAACCTTTTGTTGATGCATTGGTATACTTGTTAAAGCAATGTCTTTTTGCTCCTCAGCTAAATCTAAATTGGCCCTAAAGGTATCCTTATTCCCCTTTTTGGTACTGAGCTCAACTAGGAAGTTTGGAGGTCAATTTCAACTAGGACCATGACTTTTATTCCAAAAGCCAAATTGAAAGGACTCTCCCCTATGGAGACTTTGGTAGTCATGTTTAAAACTCATAATACTGTAAGTTTAGAGGTCAATTTCAACTAGGACCATGACTTTTATTCCAAAAGCCAAATTGAAAGGACTCTCCCCTATGGAGACTTTGGTAGTCGTGTTTAAAGCTCATAATACTGTAAGAAGCTCCTCAGCTCATTTGCCCGTGGCTTTGTTTAACCTCTTCTTGAGGGCTTCAAGTATGGTTTTATTTTTTGCCTAGGCCTAACTATTGGATTGTGGATGAGCAACTGAGGTGAACCTTAGATCAATGTTGAGGTTGAAGCACCATTCTTTGAATTTTGGGTTCTCAAACTATTTTCTTTTGTCAGTTTTTATGGACCAAGGTAGGTCAAATAAGTAAATTATGTTCTTCTATACAAATTACTTAACTTGAGACTCAATTGTAGTAGCTAGTACCTCAGCCTCTAGTCATTTAGTTAGGGTGAATAGTTTAAGCACGTCCATACCCCACTGTATAAAGGGCAATAGGCTTATTATAAGAGTTAGCTTAGTTGAGGGTAGATGTTGTAGGTAAGCAAACTTTTGGCACTAGTTAAATTTTTTCACTAGGTTGGTCATGTATTTTTTTATGGTTAGCCAGTAGTAACTTTATCCTAAGACCTTATAAGCTAGTGGCCAAGGTCTGAGGTGATTCTCACATATTCTTTTATAGATTTTCTTAAGTACATAGTTTACCTCATTTTTGTCCACACATTAGGTAGGATAAACTGAATGATCTTTTATACAACTTTTTGTTAATAATAGTATACCAAGAAGCTCTTCTGATTAGAGATTTAGCTTGGATTTTGTTTTTAAGTAACTCTTTATCGTCAAATATGTTCTGATTAGGGACATCCATGATTCTTTCTCTTTGATTTGGCAGATTTATTTCTCATGAATCTCTTCTCTAGCAATTCTTCAACTAGGACGTGTGCCAAGCTATCTGTTATGATCCAAGACGCTAACATGGTTAGCGAGTCAAGTAATTTGTTTTCTAACCATAGTATATTTCTCACATTGACCCTTGAAAATATCACCAAATGTGCCGTTATCTTTTCCATATATTTCATTATCCTTTATTCTTTAGCATCAAATTCTCCATTCACCTATTTGACCATTAGTTGTGAGTTATTGTATATCAGAAGATTTTTCACATTCAAGTCTACATTTAATCTCAGGCTCATGATTAATGCTTCATACTATTACTCATTATTTAAAACCTTAAATCCAAACTTTAATACATACTGAAACTGCATGTTTTTTAGGCTAATTACAATTAGAATGCCCTATTTTTTTTAGTAATGGCTAACCCATCTATAAAAAGTTTTCAAGTCTCTTCTTTATTCTAGTCATCAATTGTGCTAGATTGTTTTTTTGCTTTAGTTGAGGTACACTAAGAAACGAAATCAACTAATACCCACCACTTTAGGGTTGATCTAGTTAATATGTGTAGGTTGTACTCACTAAGCCCAACTATCCATTTGATCAATTTGCCTTGATAACTCAAGCTTCTACAAGATGTGCTTGAGTAGTTGGTCGATTAAAATGTTCACCTTGTGAAATTGAAAGTACAATTTGAGCTTTCTAATCAAGGTTACAATAGCATAGGCTAGTTTTCTATTTTTTGATAATTGAACTTCGCCCTAATTAACACTCTACTTATGAAGTATACTGGCTTCTATTTTCATTTTTCTTTTTGGACTAGGATTGAGCTAATAGTTTAATTTATGGTTACAATGTAAATGTCCAACAACTCGTCCGGTCCTGGCATTAACAATGTAAGAAGAAAGGAGAGGAACTCTTTGAGCTCTTCAAAGGTTCGTTGACAATGGGATGTTCACTTAAAGTTAGAGATTTTTTTGAATATTTTAAAAAATGGTAAGCACTGATCTATCAATCTTCACATAAATCTGCTTGGTGTTGCAATTTTCTTTGTCAACCTTTGTACGTCTTATGCTCAGGTTGGTGACTTTATATCGAAAATAGCCTAAACTTTTTCAAGGTTAGCTTTTATTCCTTTCTAGTTGATCATGTATCCTAGGAATTTGCCTGACATAACCTCAAAAGTGCATTTGCTCGGGTTAAGCTTTGTGCTATACTTTTTAACTATGTTAAAGGTTTCATCCAAGTTTTTCAGATGCTTAATCAGGCTTTTACTATTGACAATCATGTTATCAATATGCACCTTGATATTACGATCAATATAATCCTTGAACATTTTATTAAATAGCCTTAGACAGGTCGTCCTTATGTTTTTTAAATCGAATGGCATCACTTTGTAATAGTACAAGCCATTTTCTATCACAAAGCTATCTTTTCCTCATTTTCTTTTAACATCTTAAACTGATTATATCCCAAATATGCATATATGAATTTAAACAGGTCATGTTAGGTACTATCATTTACCAATCAATCTATATTTAGTAAGGAAAAACTATCCTTTGGGCAAGCTTTATTAAAGTTGGTTCAGTCAACAAACATTTTTTATTTTTCACTATGTTTTTTCACAATGAATATGTTGGTTATCTACTCAGGTAATATGCTTCCCTAATAAAGCCAACCTTTAGTAGCCTACTGACCTATTTCTCAATGGTTTTTTGCTTTTTAAGGGCAAAACATCTTTTCTTTTGTTAAACTGGTTTCACGTTTGAATTATTGTAACCTGTGGACCATTATCATGAATCAATCCCAGAAATATATGATAGGGTCCATGCAAACAATCAACATTATCTTTTAACAACTATATTAATTTTTCATTCTAGTTACTTGGCCCCTATTTGCATACATTTACCGTTATTATTTTAAAAAAAAGGAACAAGCATGAGGTCTTCTACTATTTTTGGTTTATTGATATCCATTTTGGGCCTTTGGTTAATGATCTCTTTTTGTTCATTTAGGTTAAGACTAATACTATTTCTTATGAGAATTACAAATCCTGATGTGAGTGTTGATATGTTAAACTCATTAGTTTAGATAGGCTCATGCATTAGTATGAAAGTATGATTTGAACAGTTTGGTAAATGTAGTCATTTGTATATTCATGAAACAGGTTTAAGAGCTTGTTAAAAATTAACTTTGTATGATTTTAATACCAACTTAAAAGCTTGACATTAAAAAATCTTTAAAAAGTATGTACAAATTGCAAGCTTAAAAGCACGGTGTGGGCTCTTAAGAGAGCATTTTTTATTTTTCTACAGCCTAGTCAGTCTTATGCTTCTCACCATGATTGTCTTTTTTACATCTCAATTGTCTTAACCTTGAACTCTGTCTTTTCTTTGGCTTGGGTTTCCTCGACTGTAGTTGAGCTATTAGTTTATTTTTCAATCATACACCTTATGACTATGACATAGCATTTTCTTATTGTGGATTGGTCTTTTTGGACCCTTCTAACTCCATTCGGAGTAAGAAATTTGATCTTAAAATAAGGAGTAGAGCCAATGATTCTCATAATAAATTGACTCGACCAACCTAGAATTATATTGTACACTAAGGGGGCATTTACCACCTTGAATTCAATGATCAAGTTGATACTCACTAACTTGATTCCAATGTGATTAGTAGCCTAATTATACCTTTTACTGATATTTGCTCATTCTTAAAGCCGATCAAAGTGGTAATGAATGGCTTCAACATCTCCTCGATAATCCCCATCCTCAGCATGGTTGAATAATACAAGACATCGGTCAAACTCCTATTATCAAATACATTTTTTTGACCACATGATTATAGACCAATGCTTATATGATGATAGCGTTGTCAGGCAAGAATTGGATCCTTCAAAATCCTCTGAGCTAAAAAAAATTGGCTCATTCTTCTAACTTTTTTGCTTATTGGTCATGGACTTAATGGTCATAATTCCTCTTATCAAACTTCTTTTGGTTAATGCCGAGGGCCCACTAGTTATTACATTGATGATTCTTGCAATGGGCCTATTATCAACATCATTTCCCTTATCATTCCTCTGGTCAGCCATTGCGATCAACACCACCTTGGCCTATTCTTCTCATTTTCTTTTGGTTCATTCTGGACTATTCTCTTCTATCCCTATTTTTGAAATCCCCTCTTTCTTGTGTCGTAACAATTTTGTGTCCACCCGATGAATTTGAAAACAAAATAAAAAATAACGGAGTTGCCATCAATCTTTTTTGGCTAGGTGCGATTGGCCACTTACTAAAACATATTTTTTAATAAAGTTTTAAAATTGATTAAAATTTATTAAAAAGATAATTTTACGATCTGCGAAACAGTCTAGGTTCAGGAGTCAATTATATGTGAGGAAGGATTAGCACCCCCACAGCGCCTCGTCTAAGATGGTACCAATTAACTACATGTTATCCTTTGATTTTGATAAAAACAGTCTTATTTTCGATATTTAAAAATTAATTTTCTTGATTTTTTATATTCAAATATTATTTGAGAAAAATAAATTAGAACCTTTTCATTGAAATTATTCTTAAAATGTTTCAGTACGTTAGTAACATTAGAAGAACTCTTTCTCACCTAGAGATTTCTTAAGCATCACTTTTCGGAATACCTTAGAATTTCATCTTTGGAGATCCGAATTTACTTTTTGTAAAAAATTATGTCATGTATACAATGCAAAAATAACATGTTGATGCACACATTTTATTCTTTTTTCAAAAATTTTATTAATTGTTTTATTAATTTTTTTATTTTTAATTTTGAAGAAAAAAAATTTTTTATTGTATTGAAGTTTTTCTATAAATATTCCAATACACTGATAATATTTTAAAAAAAATCATCTCATCTAGAGATTTCGTAAAGCATCACTACTGGAAATACTTTTAGAATCCCATCATTGGATAAAATTTCATTTTTTTTTATTTATACTATTTTTAATAAATTAATTAATTTTTATTTATTATTCTATAAAAAAAGAAAATTTTTATTCTATTGAAAATTTTTTCATAAATACTCCAATACATTGGTAATATTAAAAAAAATCTTCCCACCTAGAGATTTCATAGGTATCACTACGCGGAGTACCTTTGAATCTCATTATCAAATTAAAATTTCTTTTTTTATTTTTTTTATTATTTATTAATTAATATTATAAAACAATAAAAATTTATTTTGGTAGATTTAAACATTTTTACATGCATAAATAATAATAATAATAATTAAAATAACAAAAATAATATATAAAAAAATCTAAAAAAAAAATTTTTTACCTGAATCGGACCGATCAACAGTCCGATCAACGTGGGCTCGATCGGATTGGCAGTTCGATTTGGTCTGGCGGTTTAGTGGTTCAAGTGCGGTCTGGTTTAGTCTGGTCCGGTTCAGATGGATCGGTCAGGGGCTAAAGGAGAAACAGGTCGTTGAGTTGGGTGCGCGGACCCCGGATCGGGTCACGGGTCGACGCGCGGATTCTCAGAGGCTAAAACAACGTTGTTTTGGGCATTAGTGAAACGACATCGTTTTGGGTTATGGCCGCTTATATAAAACTAAAATTTTTTTTTTAGTCATTTCTTCTTCTCCCCAAAAAAAAAAACTTCCCCTTTTTTCTCAGACAAAAACAAAACCAGGGGACCGATCGGCTGTCGTCGCCGCCACGCAGCCACCGTTCGTCGATCACCGGTCGCTGTCACCGATGGTCAAAAAATATCAAAAAATGCCAACATGTTCTCCTCAACATACGTTTTCTGGATCCGATATCCTTTTCACCAGAAACAGCCTCGATCAACATAAATTGAGGTTCAAAGTTTCGGTCTTCTTTTTTTTTTTTAAATCCACTGACTTCTTTTTTTTTGGTAGGTAGCTTTTCTGGCGCTGGGTTCCTCCCTACAGGGAGGACTGTGTCGTTTCTATTTTGTTTTTTTTTACAAAAAAATTTTTTTTTTAATTCTGGAAACACTTTTTATTCTATAAAACTCTCATTTCTTTGTGGGTCATTCCGATTGTTTTCTTCCATGATTACAAGCTCTATTTATAGAGCTTGCTGGGATTCAAATCCTAGATCATCAAGGATTCGAGTTCCATTTTTTCAACTGGCGTGATAAGTTGATATTCACACGTTGGCTAGTGTCGAAGGTTGTCGGTGGTGGTTTTGGATTTTAGGGAGAGTGCATTTAATGCACTCATGCTTAGTCAACTTAAATCGGATAAGGAAAAAGAAAGAAAAAAGAAAAAAGAGAAAAAAATAAAAAAAAATGAAAATAAATATTAAATAAATAATAATAATAATAATGGTGTTTACACCTTGTCCTTGCTTTCTTTGGTACACAAATCTATTCAATTGACCTCTTCTGATCAAATTCTCTATCTCATTAATCAGGTCAATACAATCTTTGATATTATGACCATAGTCTCTGTAGAAGGTGCATCTTTTTGTTGGGCCTCTTCTACTATTTTGTCTTAGTGGCTTAGGCCAATTTGGGCTCGAGCTCCTTTTCTATTTACATCAGAATCCTCTTTTGAGAGGCATTAAGTGCAATGTAGTCGTTGTATCATCTGCTAGGGCTTTCTTACCGAGGTACCTTTTAGATTTTTACCCTTCTAGACGGATTATTGTTTCTATTCCTCTTTTAGAACTAATGTGGGAGGGATAAAGTTCTCTCTCACCATGGCTATTTTTTTTATTAATAGCTTTAGCATTAATTTTTTTTTTTTTTCAATAATTAAGAGTATGTCAACTAGTGTCCCTTTTGGTTAGCTCTAAGGGAAAGGGTAAGCTTGAAGTGCTATTCCTATCACTTAATCCACTTGTCAGGGTAGCTACTATAGTAGCTTGTTATAAATCTTTCACTTGGAAAGCCTTAGCATTAAATACATGATGTGCTCTTTTAAGGATTCATTTCTTCCCTAATAAGCTTGTGTCATTTTCTTTGTTCATCGACTACTGATTAAGTAAGACAAGAAAAGTGGCCGAGCTACTTGAAGAAGTTGATAGACCCTGACCCCAAGCTATTATACCATGACTGAGAACACCCCCTTGAGTGTCATGGCAAGCTTTTTGTACATAAGAAGCCAACAGCTTTTTTGTATCATCATGTTTAGTTTGGTAGAGTTTAAAGTGATCAAAAAGGATCAGAGGTGCCCCTCGTAGGTCTCTAAGATTGGCATTTTGAATCCTTTTAATGGTAGGACTCGGTCTATATCCTTTCTTAATGAAGAGGTTTCCAAGAACTTCAACTCATTGTAAAAGGTAAACACTTTATTCTTCAACTCTTTTTCCATTGCCTCTATTCGAACTTCTAAGTCCTTATTGGGTTATGGTTTCGAGGTGGTCTATTTGGACTATTTGGGCGGTAGCATGTGTTTGGGCATTTGAAGGGTAGTGGGTCATGGGTGTTTTATCCTCATCATGTGCCAATGAGGCAACACTATTATCGTAGATTGGCAACTTTTGTGTCAGTAGGTTCTTAGGGTCATTAGGTTCAATGCTTTGGAGGTTTGTGGTGTAGTCAAGTTTTGTATCATTTTCTTTAAGGATTGTAGCTGTTGGGTGAGTGTTTGAAATTGTTCTATGGTTGGAGCTACTTGTGCAAGTTGGTTAAGGTTTTGTTAGTTGAGCTGGATATCAGTCCTAGTTGCAACATTATCTCTTTCCTTAAAGACTCTCTTTCTGAGTGCCATACTAGCTCAACTAGATTAAAATCTCCTTACCTAGCACACCAAAATCTTAGTATTAAGTTGTCTACAAAGGTAAAAACTTGAAAACACAAAGGAGGGAAGGAGGTTAATAACAAAGGTGGAGTTTTTTTGGTGTTTATGCTCTAACGTTCAAGTCAATGTTCAGTAAAAGAATGAGAAGAAGAGGAAATTAGATAGTAGGTACATAGAGTTCGTGTTGGTTTAGGAGTACCTGAAAAGGGATATTTATACTTGTGCGATAGGGGCATTGTACCTAGGTGGCCTAAGCTCCAAGTAGCGGGAATAGGGCTAACATCGCTACCTCGAGCTAAGTTGGCAGTCAGTAGCCCAATCAAGGGATGACAAGTCAACAGTTTCATGTGCCACTAGGTGGTCAGCTGAGGTGGCCGAGCTTATGTGGAGCCCAAGAATTCAACTCGGCTCAACATGTCATCTTAGTCAAACTGACTACATTACCCTCGTCTAACAAGTGACTCACATTCTAAGGTGAAAGGTCCATTTTGCCCTTGGGACCCTAAAATGCCCCTAATAGTTTCCTTGTCTATTTAAGGTAATAGTTTATTTGGAAATTGTTGATATGAAGATCAATAGTTGACATTACTTACTTTTGCAAGCTGTTTTGTGGATTTGATGATATATACTACCTCTTCCTTAGGTGGTTAAACAATCTTTTTATGCTGAGTAGACAATATGGTTGTGGATTTGATGATGTATACTACCTCTTCCTTAGGCGGTTAAACAATCTTTTTTTGCTGAGTAGACAATATGGTTTGTCAAAATGGAGCAATGAGGCTATGTTTGTGATTGAAGTATGCAGAACCTTGAGAGATAGGGGTCCATACCCTGCTAATCAGGTTGTTAAAGATCTTGATGAAAGCTTTGACTTTGTTATCTATGACAGCAAAGCTGGAACTGTCTTTGCTGCACTAGTAAGTCATTGTTCCAAGTATCAGAATGGACTTGTAGTATCAGGAAAATGGAATTTTTATCCAAACGGTTTCCTTAAAATATTGTTTGTTAGCTGCTTAACTACTTATTGGAGTTGCATCTTTGAAATTCCAGGGTTCTGATAGTGGAGGTTAAACTGTTCTGAGGAATTGTAGCAGATGGCTCAATGCTCATATTTGATGATTTGGATGTCATTAATGAAGGCTGTGCCAAATCCTTTGCTCCCTTCCCTACAGGTACTTGATAGGTTCTTTTTCTAGTGAAATTGTTTCAAACTTGCATTGTTTCACATCCAATTTGAAGATTCCTACGGAATCTTTGTCTGATAAAATGTTAAAATGGTGATATTATGAATCTGATATAAATGTTGATTTGTGGGGCTTTGAGCATTGAAGCAACAAATCAGGGCAATGCCAAGGATAGATAGTGAAATGTGATTTGTCGAGCTAATTTCAAGGTTGATGTCTACACAAAAGTAAACAGCATTCCAAGGGTGGGGAGTGATTACACTCAGTAGGATTCACATTAATAAAAGTAAAATACCTTAACAAAAAAGGATTGTTATGAAACTTTGTTCTTTAAGAGGATCAAAGCTGAAACAAATACTCAAATTTATTCTGCTTTTTTCCAAGTTCTTGACTTTTTATGTACTTTTCTTGTTACGTTTTTGGGTTTTTTTTTTTTTTCCTTTGAGATTGTAAATAATAACCAAATTCCTTCTATTATTCTACTTTTTTTGTAACTTTTTTGCTAGTCTAAATTATATTGATTTTAATGTGCAAAGGACCTAAAGTGGATTTTGAAATTTCTTTTTCAGTGTTTCGATTTCATTTTGTTGTTCTATATGATATTTTTTTACTTTTACAAGAATATATATATATATATATATACACTATTGGGAAAATGATTGGGGCAAAAATCGATTAAAAATAAAAGAAATAAAAATTTAGGATTTAATTCAGAATTCAATTGGTTCATAAAGAATGACATTTAATATATATAAATTCAATTTTTAGCTTTCTAACTTTTTTTTGTATATGCGGCACTATTATAAAAAATATATATAAAGGTATATTGAAAGTAAATTACCATGAAAATGATCAAAGTACTTCAGATAAAAGATTAATTGATTTTTTAGATCACATATGGAACTAATAAAATATTACAAAAGGGTTAAGAACCACTGAATCAATATACTCTTTTCATTATCTAAGCTTTGAATCCTATGTAAGGTCCATTGGGATTTGAATAAATGATATACAAAAGCTTAAAAAAAAGAAAGACCGGACCATCTCATTTAACCATTCGAGTACCGCTCACTGAAGTTGCGTCCTCTGGTTCATATATGCTTATGCCACAACCTTATTACATTAAATGCATCCTTATGCCACAACCTGCTTCGTTTCCCACGGTCAGGAGATTTTTCTCGAACAATTTCCCTTCCCATTTCTCTAATCATTTGATGCATCATTAGCTTGATTTTTTCATTAACAATTAGGAGAGACCTAAAAAATTGTATAGAATCACAACCATCTAGAATTGTAGTTGTGTAATCTTAATCCTTCCATTGAAGAAACAAGCTATGTCAAGGAATAAATTTTTATCATAATCATCTTCCATGGAATCACAGCTTATTCTTAGAATCTTTTGAATTTTGCTATCAGGGATTGCTTCCAATTTCTTCAATGCATTTTTCCAAACATTCTTACTTTTTCCTGATAGTGAAGAACCCAAAACTTTAAGATCTAATGGAAGCCCACCACAATTTTTCTCTACTTTCCTTGCATACTCCATTGAATTGATCTCAATCGAACAACTCTTTGCGAAGGCAGACAAGTTAAAAAGCTGAAGTGATTTGTCAAAAGTTAATTTTTTCACTTCAAATTCCTTGCAGATTTCTCCATAATTAGATGATGATGATTCCAAATTCAGCAGCTGGGTAGTGAAAGGCGCATTCAGCATCGATCGATGTCTGCTAGTTATGATGATCTTACTTCCTGGATGAAAAGCTACTTGGGTTCCGATTATTTTAGTTATTTTTTCTGAATCATCCACATCATCGAGAACAAGAAGAACACATCATCGAGAACAAGAAGAACTCTTGCACAGCATAACGCTTCATTGATCTTAATAATTCCATGATCAGGATTGTTTATTTCGTTTACCTTTCCCTTAAGGATATCTGAAATAAGCTGTATTTGCAAACGAATCAAGCCATTGCTTTCTCTAACATCAGCGAGGAAACTATAGCCTTAAAAAATTTTCATGTTTTGATTGTAAACAACTTTGGCAATGGTTGTCTTCCCAATCCCTCCAATTCCGCAAATTGTTGCAATGCCAACTTTATTTGATCCATCTCCTTTTAACCACCAATTAATGCAAGTCACGAGAAAATCTATTCCAACTAAATGAAGAGGGACATGTAAAATGGTGTGATGGAGTTTCTTTTGAACCTGCTTAACAATATCGTATACGATTCATGCCTACAGATTTTAAGAGATAGATATTTGAAATATAACTAGCAAGTAACGTCTTGAAAATTAAGTAAAAATCATTAACATGTTTGTTTGTTTCTTGTCTAATTTAGTTTTTGTAAAAGTAAAAATTACAATCAATAAAGATTCAATTGCAGAGACTTGCATCCAATCTATAAGATGTCCATTTTGATCTGAAAGTCCATTGTTTTGTCTCTACAAAATACCTTACAAATATAGATTTAAACCTTTAAGTATATATCATAAAAGATACTCAAAATATTCACAGGAAATTGGGGTGTAACACATGAAGAATTCAACACACATTTTTTAAATAGGGAGCAAATAGTATGGAACTTGCTTTAATGCACCTATCTTGTAGAACCATGCCTCCCAAATCTGCAGCTTCTTTTAAAGCAGCGCTCCATCTTTGCACCATGTCATTTCAAACTTGAAGCTTCTCTTCATGTCTGGCAAAGGCTTTTGCATAACTCCCTATATGCCTCTTGACTTAAGATGGATCAACATCATAAAATACTGGCAAAACATTATGTTGGGAGGATTTTCTATGTTCCATTATCTTAGCAAGTTCATTAAGACACCATGTTGATGAAGCATAATCCTTTGAAAAAAACAGATAAAGATTTTTTATTGATGGAGAATTACTTTTTCGATTGCATCCCTTATATTCTCTCCTTTTTCAATTTCATGGTTATCTCTAAAGGTGCAAATTCCTACTTATACTACAGGAGTGTAAAGGTGTTCTATGAAGTTTTTACTTCAATATAATTTAATATTAAAATATTAAAAGACTTTTAGTATTAATATTTTAATTTTTAAAAATAAAATTAAATAAATTTTGGGTCAGATCAAATTAAGTTTGAGCTTAAAAAATATGTATAAGTCTGATTTGAGTAAAATTATACTCAAGCACATTGATAAATAGTTTTACTCATAAACAATTCTTTTTCGAAAATTGTATTCTCTTTTTGAAAAATGTAAGATAATTTTCAGAAAAATTACCTTATTTTCTGTTGACCATTAAGTCAGTTTTCATTGATTCGTTAGTTTTTTGTCAAATAAATATCTGAAAAATGCAAAGATCATTCTCTAAAAGTTATTTTCTACAAAACAAATAGAGAAAAAAAATATTACTTTTTTGAATTTAGAAAAAGTAATGCATTAAATGTAAAAACCTTCCCAAAATAATAATTGAATAATTTTTTATCGATTCTTATTAACATTCGTTAATCAAACTCATAAATATAAAATAGATATGTTTATAGATCAAGTAAACACAGTTTAACAGTTCAAATATTTGCCTAGACTAAACCTATCTAATCATTCGAGTTTTGATTTTTCTCAAATCTGATCCTAAATTTAAAAAAAAAAAAATAGAGTCAAGACCCACCCAAACCAGCCGAATTATGTTTTCTTTTTCATGCCAAAATTGAAATATAATCATTTCAAATAATGAGTAAATCACAGTAAAATTTAGCACAGCATCCTTGGAATTCAATTAAAATTCAAACAAATTATCAGCACTTTACATACTCACAGCATCTTTCAATCCCAAGCTAATGAAAAATTATTATAAAAAAATTGAATAAAAATATTAGAACTTTTAAATTGATAACTAAAAGCACGATAACATTATACAAGAAATAAATAGAAATAACAAAGACAAGAATAATTTTACTTATAGACCAAATTTGCACTTGAGAAGGTAGGAGACAAATGAGAGAGATGAGAATGCGAGTGATAACGGTTTTGGAGTGAATGAAGCTATATATGAGGAGAGAAGATGCTGATGGTGAATCGAATCCAAATTTCAAAGATAAAGACCGAACGCCATCAATGACTTGCATTTTAATTTGTCGGAGAGGATGAAAAATTTATTAATTCAACGGTTAACTTTTATCTTATTTATTTTACATTTAATATATCTTTTATTTGTTTATTTTTATTAAGAATTAGCAAACATTATTTATTTATTAATATTGAGCATATTTGATATTTGAAAGCAATCAACTTACATTAAAAAGTTTTATATTTTTTAATTATTAATTTTAATAAATTAAAAAGATGAGATTTAATTCATTTTTTTCACTAAACTCTTTTATTCATTAGATCTATTGAGATAATAATTAAAAAGATATAAAATTTTTTGGTTTTATACTGATACAAATTGATTTTTCTCTTTTCATGTTATATATAATTATAATTATATATAACTATCGAAGTGAGTTAGACTAAACCCAAGTTTTAAATGTTAGACTTAAAGCTTGACTTAAATTTTAAATAAATCTCATATTTTTGTTTAGATTAATTTAATGGATCTAATATTTTTATCCAACCTCCTCCAAAATTAAGCTTGTGAGTTTGGATAGATAATTCAATATTTAAATAGATCATATAAATTTTTTTTTTTTTTTTATATTGGAGGCAGTATGTAGGTAAAAAAAATAGTTAAAAGTATTGAGATCAAATATCAAATCTATTAAATATTATTTTTTAAACATAATTATATAAATAAATTACGCTTGGAATTTTAATATAAAATAATTTGAGTATATAATTAGTATGATTTTACTTTTAACTTTTTAATTACTTTATTTTTAAGGAAACAAAACTCAGAAAGGAAAAGACATGAAAAATTTT